TATATATATATAATAAAAAACTACGGCTTTTCTTCTGTTAAGAGGCCAGTTCAGCCACAGCCCTGCCACTGCTAGCTCCTCAAGCCGAAGTCCATCCCCTCCCTTTTCTCCTCACTGTCCTTTTAAGGAGCTGTTCTCAGCTTCTTCCTAAGCTAAAATCCCTTCCTGTTTTCTCTTACTATCAAATTGAGGCTTTTGCCTGTAAATTTGTGCTGTTTCCTCAGTTTCCTCAGTTGTGATTTCCATTTTCACTGAAGCAGGGACTCAGACTAGCTGGTCACGGCTTCAGTGATGAAGTGCTGCTGTAACCAAAACAGAGAATAGATAGCATCATCTCAGACACACTGGGAACAGGGAAACATCCTGCGGAGGGTGGAGACTGCTGCCTGCAATGCTTTGGAATTCAGATAATGTCCTCGAGGAACTTGAGGCTTTGGGAGAAGTGGTTGAGATAAAAGATGGTAGGAGCGGAAACTGGCCAAGGTTGGCTGAAAATCAGAAAGGACAAAGCCCAGCAATCTCTGTTTCTTTTACCAAGGATAGACCTCAAGAGAATGACACGGGTCAAATCGTTGTCAGCTGACGATTGTGAAAATCTCTGAATGAACTAAGAGTCTATCAGAAAACCCTTTCAAGTAGACAAATGTCTCTGTGACACACAAATAAAAGATATAGGTCTCCAAGGAAGCCAGAAAAACTGGAAGATACCTAGGTATGAGAAATAGGGAGAGGTAGAGAAAGTTGAACAGAACTGTGGTTTTTAAAAATAAATGGGATTAACTGGAGGTTTACAAGAACCCTTAGGTCTCAAATTTGGGGGATAGCAAGGAGGCTGAGAGAAGAGAGGATGTCTCAGGGAGTCTTATCTCCAATTGTGCTTCAGGCATAGCCAAAGAGAACCAGAGAAAAGGTGAAATTCTCTAGAGGTACGAGAAAAGAGGCAGAGGACGGCTTAGGAAGACCTCGGCCCAACCAAGGAGCTGACTTGACACTAATTAAGGAATCCTCCCCGCCACCAAGCTATGAGACCTGTGTAGTGTCTTCCACTGGATTTTAGAAATGATACTCACCAGAGAGTCCTGAGTGTCTCCACTTCCTCCTCCCTCTGAGGGGCAGGAAGCCACTGTGTTCATCATAGTATGTTAGACATGCAGAGGGTAAATAATTGGCCTTTTAGTACATTTGTTCTGATTTAACCCATTTTGTTTCCTGCACAGCTCCTGTGGATGTTTTGAGTTTTCAACCCTACCACCCACAAGAAGCCATTTGGTGACATATACTAATTATATTCCTGAAAGTTCAAGACCAACATTCACTCTACTGCCCAGGGCTAACCTCTGAGTCCTGTGGGTGACTTCACAGCCCAGCAGCGCTCCCAGAATTGTTCCTTTGTTGCAGTCCACCATGCTGGCCACCCTGTGGCTGATTAGCCTTTCTTTCCCCACTCTCAGGGCACAGCCATTAATCAGCTGTCCCTACAAGAATCTGTGCCAGTGGCCCCTACTCTCAGGCAATGATATTGTCCTGAAGTGTGACCTTCCGAGGGCACTCTGGTACTTCTCCTCCATTCTAGGGGAGGATCTCTTCCTCATCAACTCAATGCATAACATAAAGAACCTGCCTAGCGGTAGCCTGCAGTTGACCAACCCTCAGCCCTCCCAGTCCGGCCTCTATCGCTGCCAGGACAAACACAGTATCCTCATGGTGGAATATGAGATTGACTTTCAGGATGTCTCCACCCTGCACATCACACACAAAGCCCTGGACCAACAGACCCTGCAGAATGAGACTCTGAGGCTAGGAGGTGAGGTACTCGTCTTCACCCAGTGGGAGCCCTGGCAGAACTGTAATCGCTGTGGGGTGCCCGGTGAGCGCAAGCGCCTGGGATACTGCTATATTGAGGAGCCCCAGGAGAAACCCATGCCTTGTGGACTCTATCTGAGAGATGAGAAACCGCCACACACCCGCTTGAGGCCTGAGATACAGGTAGAAGCCTGCCTCGTACCCTGTGGCCCTGCTAAGGAATTGGAACAGTCATACTTCATCTTTGACATTTATCAACTGGGCAAGTTGACCAACAACGCGTGGCTTGACTGCCCCTTGTCCTCCGTCTACAGGTAACAGGACCAGGGCAGCAGCCCTACCTTTGGTCTGCAGCCAGGCTTTGTCTCCTGAGTCCCCTGGGCTGGGTTTCCACCCAACAGAAACCAGGCTGCTTCCCCAGGCCACCAGCCTTCACGGGCAGCGTGTGCAGGAGCGTCTGCCCGTATGTTCACGAGGCGAGGATTCCCTGATGCTGCCTCCCAGTTGGGCCTTGGGCAGATGATGCTGGGGACACTGGTGACTACAAAGAGCTGGTCCCTGCCCACACAGGTGCCCAATATTCAGATGTAAAACCTAGAGGCTAAGCTACTCAAGCATAGTATCAACATAGTGAATGTAATGTCAAGAGGGGTGTTAGAGTGATTTTCATCCCATGATTGAAGCCTGATTAATATGGTTATGACTAGTTGATTTTCTTTAAAATACTTTATTTTTGGGATGGGGGAGATGGCTCAGTAGGATAAGTGCTTGACTGGCAAACACAAGAATCTGAGTTCAATCCCCGGTTCCGCAAAAAAAAAAAAAAAAAAAACCTCAAAACTTTATTTTCTATTTCATTGATCTCAAGTTTCTTATTTAAATTTTCTCTATTTGTTGGATTAAATTTGTTACTTTTTCTAATTTCTTGAGATGTCTGCTAAATCAGTAATTTTCATCTTTTCTCTTTAAGTTTCACTTATTTTTTTTCACTTTTTTTTAAGTTTCACTTATATAACTTTCCTGCATCCTATAAGTTTTTTTTTTTTCAGAACCAGGGATTGAACTCAGGCCCTTGGGCTTGCCAAGGAAACGCTTATTCCACTGAGCCGTTTCCCTGGCCCCTTGCATCCTATAAGTTTTGATAACTTTTTTTTTTTTTTACATTTAGTCACTTATAAAATGTTTTTTCTTTTCACTGGCAATTTCTCGTTTGACTCATTTGGTTATTTAGATATTATATTGCATGTTTTTTCAATATCTCAGGAAGTTCTTGTTATCTTTCTGTTATTATGTTGAGTTTAATTCTGCTGACCAAAAAGTATGAATCAGTTCTTTCAACATTTGCTGAGGGGCTGGTGAGATGGCTCAGTGGTCTAAAGCACCTACTTAGAACAAGCTTAGCAAAGCACAGGGACCACTGTTCAATCCCCTAGCACCACATGCCAGCCAGCCCTGCCCCCAGGTGGGCTGAGCTGGTCACACACACATAAATAAAAAACAACCATAGAAATGATCATTTAAAAAAAAAAAAATTTGCTGAGACTTTTTTGCCCTAGAAAACGGTCATCATGGGAAACTGTTTCATGTGAAAGGAATAGGTATAACTTACAGGATTATTTTATAATATTCACCAAAAGAGTCAAATGTAGAAAAGTGCAGGAGATCTGTCCACACACGAGGGACCCAAAGAATCTAGCTGAGGACCTCAATCCCATGACAATGTCCTTCACAAGTCCACCTGGAGGCCTAGAGCCCATGACAATGTCTCAGGCAAGTCTTTATCAAGGATCTACACTAGAAAGATCCAAAGGTCAGTGGTGGAAGCTAGAAAGACTGCACAAGTGGGAAGAAGGTTCTGTCCCAGCAGGCTGAAGGATCTGCGCTGGAGCTAAGAAGTGGTGCTCAAGGAAAGGCCCAGAGCTCCCCCGAAGAGAAACGTAACCATCCTCAGTGACAATGAGGACCTCAGCTCCCCTGATGATGAGAACAGCCAAGCTCATATCAGGAAAGCTAGCATGGCAAGCTCCTCCAGAAGGATCAACTGCATACCACTTCCCCCTCCAGTTCTCTTTTTATGCCACGGGCAGCAATCTCAAGGGGGGCCTTCCACACCCCACCATGCTGATTCAGTTCAGCCTGATGTTACAAGTTAACCATTAGTGAACGCACCACATCTCATATTTGTAGCCTTTAAATATATATATTTTTAAATTTACTATAAATCTTCTATAACAAACTAGGCTACATCTGCTTGGACTTTAAAGCCTCTTTTCTTTTTCCTTTTTTTCCAAATTGTTCCTTTGTAAACTTGGTTGTCAATAGATCTCTAAGTAACCTTGAATCAGTGTTCTTATCTTAAACCAACAGTGAGCAGAGAAAAGAGCAAGTTCATACTGTAATTACAATTCAAGAATTTGTGGGGGCTGGGAAGGTAGCTCAGTAGAATAAGGGCTTGCCTGGCAAACACAAAGTCCTTAGCTCAACCCCCAGTTCCGGAAAAAAAAAAAAAAAATTGCAATGTACATGAAATGTTTTACACTTTCACAACAGCAACAAAAAGAATCAAATCAAATTGGAAACCAAAAGTGCATTTGGTACTTTTGCTAAAATTTGTGACTGGATTCCTCCTCTAACACCTCTTTCGGCTCATTCCCAGGCTGCAGCTACTGCAGCTCTCAGGCACCTGTAGGCAGCACGAGGCTGGCGATGCCAAGCAAGAGCTGGCCTTGCAGCTCCCAAAGCCAGGAGGAGACCCCAGGCTATGTCTTGCTCCAACACTCACTCTGAAATAAAAAGATGGGCAGACGCAGCTGGGACTAGATCGCTTGGCCTGGCGGTCCAACCCAGCCCAGCCACCAGACCAGCTGGCTCCTCAGACCTTCTTTTAGTTCCAGTCCCCAGCTGGGCCGTCAGGATCATCACCCGTTTAACAGCGTGCTCCATTTTGCTTTCCACGTGCATGCCTGTGCATCCCGGCACACTAAAGCTAAGCAGCTTCTTAAAGTCTTTGCCCATTACGGCACAGTCTCTCAGTGAGTTTTGTTTTTAGATGAATTAGACCACATTTCTGCCCCAGTTACCAGCTAAGCCCAAGTGACCTTGGACTTAAACACTTTACTTTGGCCACCAGCCTCTCATACTTTGGATTCACACTTTATTTGGGGGGTGCACGCGTGCATGCATGTGTGCGTGCGTGCGTACACACATACACACACACACACACACACACACACACACACACACTTGTCCAGTTGTTTTTATCCAAGTGTTGGATTCTCTAACCCTTCCTGTTGTGGCCACCCACTCAATTCCGACACTCTCTGGGAGCTTTGGTTGCAGCGGGCTGCTCCCGCAGTCTGTATTTGGGATGGAGGTTTCTGACAGACACCCAGCACTGCAGAGAAACAGACAGGAGGAAAAAGGGCAAGGGGCTTTATTATCTTTGAAAACACAGAGAGTGTGTGGGGAAGATAAGGAATTCGCTCCAATTGAACAAAGGGAGGCTGGGGCTTTTATGGCCCTCTGGCAGGGGTAGAGTTAGAGGGGGATGTTTAGATCTACCTGAGGAGCTGATTGGGGCCTTCCCTGAGGCAGCGGGGAGGGTGAAAGGAAACTGCACCCTGGGCTGAGTCGGAGAAGAAGGAGGAGGTGGTCTTGGGAAGACGGGCTTTTGTTTTAAGGGCATCAGTCATATTAGATGACCGCCATGATGATTTCAGCAGTTCATACTAGGGCCAGAATTTATCAGCTTCTTTCAACTTAATCCAGTTCAGACTGACAATGAGCCTTCCTCACATGTCACACGAGAGCCACCCTCATGTCTCTAGCACCTGGTACAAGCCAATTTTTGTGTCAGTGCCGTCTGAATTTTGGTCCAGGTCAGATTATGCAGTACAGTGGTCCCTAACTGTTACAGTTGGTGTCCTGTTGTCCCCCCAAAGCCTCAAGCAGTCAGAGGGCAGCTGCGGGAATTTGTGGTTGATTATTGTGGGTGTGGATGCTGCACCCGCCCTGGGGCAGGTAATCTGCATCACAATGTAAGGAGGGGAGAGAGGCTGGCTGCTGCCTGGGCTGCTTGCTCCCTGTGCTCTCTGCTCTTTGCCCCACCCTGAAAGGTTGCTCCCTGCCATGTGTCCCTCCGCCCTGGAGACAGCTGGGTACACACTGAACCCTCCAGTGCCTGTGAGCTAAAGAAACCTTTCCTTGCCTAATTTTGAGTGTCAGGTATTTGTCCCAGCAATGAGAGAAGAGTAACTGAGACCCTAAGTTATCACAGAAGTTACATTCCCAACACACCCATGATAAGTGAAAACCAGTGATGTTATACTTATTTTAGTATTTATATATATTTTAAGGTTTTATAAATCCTCCCCACACTCTTATAAATCTTTCTCACACTTTTAAAAACACTTCTAAGGTTCTTAACCATTTTCTAAATTCATAAACCTATGTAATTTTAACAACATATGTATATTGTATGGTACAGTATATATTCATCCACTAAAGGAATACATACTGTAAACCATATTTTATTTCAATTTAATTTTCTTGCAATATGTTAGAATTAACATGTTAAATGTGTGTTTTTTTTTGTTTGTTTGTTTGTTTTTTTGGCAGAACCAGGGATTAAACTCAGAACCGTGTGCTTGCCAGGGAAGCACTTATTCCACTGAGCCATCTCCCTGGCCCCACCAATTTTTTGTTGTTGTTGTTGTTTTTGTGGAACTGGGGATTGAACTCAGGCCCTTGTGCTTGCCAGGCAAGAGCTTATTCTACTGAGCCATCTCCCCAGCCCCAAATGTGTTTTTATATATTTT